GTCTTAGACCTTTGAGTTCAGCTCTTGATGAATGGGCGCAAAAACAAAAGTGTTAATAATAATAATAATAATAATAATAATTTTGTTCAGTGTATATATGGGGCTTAAAAGAATGAACAACTTAAGGGTAATAACTTAAATAAAAGAATTTTCAAATGACTTTCATAATCATCGTGTTAAAAGAACTTTTGGTAACTGTGGGGAATCAGAGGGCCTTACCTGTCCTGAGGGAAGATGAGCAGCTGTTCTGAGTTGTAGAGCTCCTGCAGTACATTGGAGAGGAACTGGCCCCACCAGCGCTCGCCTCCACACAGCTGCACCAACAGCAGGCCAGCGTGGAGACGGATCTTAGGCGTTCCACTGATGCAAAGGTGTTTGAAGAGCTCCTCGCAGGCCTGGGCATGGAAGGTACTCTGGAGCACCGAGGGCACAGAGTGGCCTGAAAACAAACACAAACACAAATGAAGTGAGTTAACAATGGTAAGCAGGATGCTGTTTGCCCTCCACTAGTTAAATTCAGGGGAAAAATCTAAACATTTGTAACCCTGTCATCTCCAAAATATAACAGCTGCTTCCCCTGCTCACCGTTGTTAGAGTGCAGGAGGCTGAGCAGTGTGTCCAGTAGGTAGCGGATGATGGTCCTCAGCTGCTCGGTGGATGAGTTGTGGACCAGCTCCTGGGCCTCCGGAGGTCCGGCTGCAGGCAGCGACTTTCGGCTAGCACCCAGTGACACGCGCAGTCGCTGGACTGCATGGTGAGCCAGGTTGAGTTGCAGCTGCAGCTGGATGCAGTCCTGGTAGGCTGAGAAAACACGTTGGTCCTCTTCCACCACCTTGTCTGGTTTTCGTAGGAAGTACTGGGCATTATTAGCGCTGTTGAGAGGCGGCAGGTCGATGTTCTGCAGGAGGGTCTCTAGCCTATGGCAAGCTAGATTGTACCTGGTAAATAGGAGAGCACCAAAAGTCAACTGATAGACTCAACAAATGCACTATATCCCCGTTTGCAATTGTAAAGTGCTGTTCATTTCCTTCCTGACTCACCTGCACTGGATGTCCTCCTGCAGCGCCACCATCATGGTCAAGTGCTGATCCACATCCGGCTGACTGGCTGCCTCACTCTCACCCCGCAGAGGATCGTGCATCAACTTCAGCTCACTCTCCCACGGCAGGATGTAAGTGTGGCCATAGTAGAAGCCCAGTGGGATCTTTGCCCGAGCGTTGGTGCTGCCGTAGCGCCCAATAACAGTGATCTGAGAGTCGGAGGAGAATACGTCATTGTGGTAGACTAGCAAAAGTGAAACATCAAGTCAGCCACCATGCTGCTATCCAAAGCAAAGTACAGACCTTCATGAACCTGCAGACAGGTGGTGGCAGCAGGTCGTGCAGAATGAGGGAGTGGGTGCTGATGTCAGTGGCCACCACCAGCCTGCGGCCGTCCACCTCCTCGCCCAGTGTCCAGATGTCTATGGACAGAGAGGCCAGGTCGCCACAGGTCGGGATCAGAGTGTCAGTCAGCAGGACAGGACGGCCAAAGTCCAGCGTGACAAAGCGACGAGCTCCTGGGAGGAAGGGACAGAAGAAATAGGAACTTTGTTTATTAAGATTGTTTAAATGAAGCTGTCATACTTTAAATGTCCTAAAAGGACAAATGGGAAAACAACATGATTTTAAAGTACATTGCCTTTACTCTGAAACTTTAAGCATTTATTTCTGTATGTCCAAGTTTAAATAAGCAGCAGTTAGGTAGTAAATGTGGAATATTGCTAGATAGACATACCAGAGTGCATCCGCTCTATAATGATGGACTGGTGTGGAGGAGGCTGCAGGAAGTGAGATGCCTGGGAAATCGCCAAAGCCAGGCCACTGCCCATGGGGCTCTGCAGCAAAAAGAAACCATTTTCCACCATTTAAAAAGCTGACATATTTACTGTTTTCAGAAAACACCTTTACCATTTGCTTAAACCATGTACAGAGCAATCACACTGACTCCACTTACTTATTTTTTTCACACTGTGTTTCAATCTGGCTGGATATCACATCAAAATTGTCAAATCTAGTGTTGATATTATACGAGAGATTGACTTTTGTAGATAGCTTATTTTGATCAATAAAAACTAGGGCTGGGGATGAAGGGGAAAAAAATCATGCAACAATGCCATAATGTTTTTCATATCATTTGAACGTTATATATCACAGTTTAAATAAAGTCCATATTTTTGTTGAGCTTTAAGATTCCTGCAGACTTAAAATGCTGGTAGTAGATTCAGAACCAGAAACATAACTGTTTGATCTGCAAGCAGAGGATATATTTACATGATAAACTATATAAAAATAAAAAAATAAAAAAGTTCCAATCATGTCAATATAATTCCTTACAAATCACACAGTGTGAAATGTAACAAACAACCAAAGGCCTCTTGGTTTAATGAAATCCATTTATAATAATAATAATAATAATAATAATAATATAATAATAAGAAATAATTTCCCCCTGGGATTATTAAAGTATTTCTGATTCTGATTTATTTGTTTGAATTCCTAATTTCAACTTGTCTTTGGCCATTAAGAAAGCAACAGCCTGAAAACAGACAAACAGTGTTTGACATTTATTGCTCAGAGACTAACTGTGATAGACTGTGTTTGTGTCTTTGCTGGCTAAAGTTTACAGTTTCTGTTTAAATTTAAGTAGCCTGATTCATTGACAATATATATATATATATATATATATGTGTGTGTATGTGTGTATGTATGTATGTATGTATGTATGTATGTATGTATGTATGTATGTATGTATGTATGTATGTATGTATGCACACACA